TTTTTAGTATTTTAAGTTTTATACAATTTGAATCAATATGAAGCTATTTAATGTTACAATGAAGCATTATCTATTAACCCTAAATATGTTCATACATGGCATAACAAGGGTAATTTGGTGTTCAATATTATTATTTAGGTCTCGCATATAATTTGAATCAATATGAAGAAGCGATTGAATGCTACAATGAAACAATATCCTATAACCCTAAAAATGTTGATGCATGGAATAACAAGGGTAATTTGGTGTTAAAAATTATTATTTAGGTCGCACATTATACAATTTGAATCAATATGAAGAAGCTATTGAATGTTACAATGAAGCATTATCTATTAACCCCTAAATATATTGATGCATTGTATAACAAGGGTAATTTGGTGTTAAATATAAATATTTAGGTCTCACATTAAAAAATTTGAATCAAAATGAAGAAGCTATTGAATGTTACAATGAAGCATTATCTATTAACCCTAAATATGTTCATGCATGGAATTCCAAGGGTAATTAATTGTTAAATCTTAATATTTAGGTCTCGCATTACAAATATTATAGAAACACTTGGATGCACTCTTAAATTTTGAACAAGCACTTAAAATAAATCCCACTGCTCATAAATAAGAATATAAAGGTAAATATAACATTAAATTCTATTAGCTGATTCATTATTTGAATTACGTAGAAGTTCAGAAGCTAAATACTTTTATTTTGCTGCATAGGAAATGGGTTTGTGTTATAATGCTTATATAAAAAGCTAACTATCAAAGTTATGAAACATTATCATATTAGTATTTTAAAGGATTTAATAATATTTTGTCAGTATATATTTAAAAAAAAGTGATTTATTTAAATTAATCACTTCTAGCGTTACTCTATAACTTAAAGCATATAAACTGAATGGCCTCTAACAAGGAGTGGTATTGATCTTGTTATTGCGCAATTAAGCATTCTTGCAGCTGTTATGAAAGCCAAATTTTATAATACCTGATTAACATTTAGATTTTGAATGTAGTTTTGTTGAGACAAATACTAAAAATGTGGGTAGAAACAAATAAAGAGAATCTCAGCTAGTAGAAGAATTTTCTTTATTTGAGAGTCATTCCATATAAACAGAGAATTTTAGAGAGTTTTGAATTGCTTTATAGTGTGGAAAAATTTCGAATAAGTATTATGTAAATAAAAGTTCAGTTGGGATTCCACAAAAGAATTTGATGAACTAAGAAATTCTAAACGAAAAAAGACATAAACCTTACTTAATTCTGATTACTTAATTCGAATCTTACACTTCCACAGAAGGTAAAATTCTTTATAACAATCAATGTTCTGACATTCAACAATCTTAAATTTTTATTCAAATAAAGTTGATAGCAAATCAAAAGTTTCATTTAAGAATTGATCAATAAGAAAAAATTAAGGCAGAAAATAGAATATAATTGAAAAAGGGAAGTTTATAATTCAAATATTTGAACTTCTTAGACAAAAGTAAAACAAATAAATTTAAAAATACTCAAATTAATGATATTAAAGTTCTTATGTTTATATTGGAAGTGGATTAAAAATTGAATCTTTATTATAAAAGAAAAGAAGGAAAAAGATTATTCTGTATTCCAAGTACCTTAACTAAAAATCTTTAGCGTTGTTGAATGAAAACAACAGAATTTGTTATAATAAGAAATACTTCATTATTTATGATTGAACCTATAAATCATAACAGCTTGCATGAAATTTTTAAAAAATAAAAAATAGAATTATTTAATTGAGGAATAAATCTTATTATGATGAGGGTAAAACCTAATACCCCTTTTAATTTAATATGAAATTAATTAATTATCTACAATAACATTTTGAAATAATTAGAGGGTCAACGTTAAAATATTTAATGATCTCATTCTCAAATCAATAGTAGATATCAAACTTATGAGACAAAAACCTTTATTATTGTTTATGGATAACAATTTGTTAGATATACTTCATAGTAGTAAATAATATGAAAATAGTTATAGCAATCTAGTTCCAAAACTCTTTGAAAAATTGCTGTCTTAAGGTAAAAATAATTATCTATAAAAAATAAAATACAGGTAATCTCACGATAGTACTACATTAGAATCTGGTAGTGGAAATGACTCTATCCGTTGATGAGATGTTGAGACAACCCAAGAGATTCTACCTCAAGCTAATTGTTACAAAGACCTTCTTTCTTGGTTTAAATTGCCACTTTAACATCTCTCAATTTTAAAAAATAGTATTTATTAATTGTATTCTTTAGTGAGACTTATCAAACAATACTTTGAAGATAGCTTCAGGAGCCTTTATTTTGAAAGGAGCAATTGAAAATTATCATACATTTTTTAAAAGAATCATTAAAATGAATGAAAATTTAACATTTTCCTTTAGATTTTGGAAATTTTCAAATTCACCAATATCGGTGCGATACCACCTGCAAAAATAGTGAGATGGGTATTAAATTTTCCTAGCCAGTACGGCCGGAGCATGGATGTTTTCCCAAGCCCCTACGGCCGCAATACGAATAACTCTATAAGTTCCTGGGATGTAAAGACAGGATAATAAAAAGCCAAATTAGATGGTCATTCTGGTTATGTCAGCCAATTTTTCTCCTGATGGTTCTATTCTAGCATAAGGTAGTTCAGATAAGTCTATCCGTTTATGGGATGTAAAAATCGCATAAGAAATCATAACTCATATAATCTTTATAAAGATATTTTAGAAGAATTTAAACCTTCAACAGTTTCAAATAAAGTTCTTGCAAAAAGTGGTATATTATATTTCACTATTATTAGCTTCTTCGCATATTACCATTCTTAAAATTCCCCAGAAAAAAGGGGAAAAGAAAGAAAGGTGTAGAACATTTGGCAACTCTACGAAGTCTTATCCAACACAGCCTCTAGTTTTGTGGAGAATGTTTAAAATAATACAAGAACATTAGATTCTATAGAACCCAAGTCTATCATAAGAAGTTCCGGAAAGTCCTTCTCATACTTTTACCGGTGAACCTTTTTGCTAGAGCTGAGCGCTTAGAACCATACCCTTCCACTAAGTCTGACCGACTTAAGAGCCAAGACAGGACTAATACCATTTGCTGTTATTAGGACGAAAGAATCTCTTTCTCACTAATCACAAGAGTTATATTAGAAATGTTCTCTGGAAAAAGTTGAGAGCATGTGCTTCTCAGGATTACCAGTCCTTCAGGGCTACCATAGTACTATCACAGGTTAGGAAGGATAAACTAGTGGATTGCAAAATCAAACCCAATTCTTACTGATCAAATTTCATATAAACTAAACCTTTGAATAAATTGTATTATCTTGATCAGCAAGCCATGAAATACAAATTATCATATTTAAAACATGAAGGCAGAAAATGTTTTAATCATTGAAATAAGCCGACCGTATTTAAATTCTTAGTTTCTAACATTCTTTAAATTTGATATTTGCTTTTATGATTTTTTTGCAATAAATTAATTTTACGAGCAATTTGATTTCATTTAAAATCGGATAAATTGAAATTAAGATGTAATTTGTACTTTTTGTTGGGGTTGCCCTTCTTCAGAATAAGTAGTTTCGATTAGGATTAATTAATAATCTAGATTTATGTATTCTTTTGGATGAAATACTAGTAGTCCATCTCAACTTCTAATTTAAGATTGGATAACTATCTATAGGTTTCAGCAGGTTTTCAGAAAAGGGTTCACAAAATATTGGGACTTATTCTATTTGCTGGAATAAAAAGAAACAAAATTAAATTTGTTTGCATTTTAAACATTAAATATCACTCAAATGTGTTTTATTCATTAATAAAAATATTGCCACTATACTATCTAATTTTGAATAAGAAAAATATGAAGATTATCCATAGTATTTTATTTCTATTTCAATCTTTTATCAGAATAAACAACCATCATAATATACAATTTAAACCAAAACAAAGTTAATAAATGATATACCTGCACTTTTCAAAGATATTACTCATGAAGTAGTAGGGAAAATAGAATGTAAGACTGCAACTTAGATTATTGAAGATATTCCACAATTTTCAGTTAGGGTCAGCAAATATATTTTCAAACTTTGAGAAC